GGGGGCCTTCTGAAACTTCCCATCTGCCATTCATTATGATTCAACAGCAAAGAAAACCGCACCTTCTCCACGGTTGGGGCTGGGGGGAGGGGCGGCAGTCGCCGCTGTGGGGCCTCTGGACTCACCCTCTCTGAGCCTGACAGTACCACCTGCGAAGGGTCCAGAGGCCCCTGAGCTGTGCGTATCTCCAGGGGAGTGGTGTTCCAGAACTTTCTAGCACTTTCAAGAACCCCTCACAGGGGTCCTGCACCCAGAAACAGCCAAGATCTGCTGGATTGGAGACAAATTGCGACCCCCGCTTTGCTGTGAGTCAGGAAGCAGCCCTATGTCACCCTGTGTCCTCGTCCTCCTTTGAGGGTCCTGCCTGAGGGAGTCAGGGGAGGGCCTGGCCCAGAGGCTGCCCCCACCAGACGGCTGTGCCCGGGCTGCGGATCGTCGGCTCCTGCTGGTGTCAGATGCCGCCTGGTCCGTGTGACCTTCCCTGGCTCCATGTGTACAGCAGCTCAAGCCCCTAACAACTCCCAGCCCCCGTCTCCACTTTATTTTCTGCTCAGAATGTATTGCCATCCAACAGGCTTGAATATTTGTTCAAAATGTCTTTCCTGCCCTGGCCGGGTGGCTCAGTCGGTTGGACACCTAAAGGTTGCACGTACGATTCCCAGTCGGGGCACATACTTAGGTTGCAGGTTCGACCCCCGGTCCAGTCGGGGCTTGTGAGGGAGGCAACTAACGGATGTTTCTCTCTCTCTCTCTTTCTAAAAAAAGAAAAAAGAGTCTTTCCTTACTTGTCTCTAACTAGCATGGTAGGCAGAGGGGGCCGGGATTTTGTCACTGTTTTTGGCAGCACCTACGAGTAGAATGCCTGGCACACAGTAGGTGCTCACGCAGTGTTTGCCAGAACGATGAATGGCTCTCCGCAAAGCTGCCCGGTTCGTGTGCAGCCCTTGAGGCCCATGGGTGAGAGCCTGCTTTGCGGGCCCTGTCTGGTCCCATCATGGTCTGTGCCTCGGTGTACGCATCTGCCCGCGTAGCTCTGGGGTGAGGTGCACGTGAGACAAGCCTGCACAGGCCAGCACTTCCAACAGTAGGTGCCGCCCTGCCTTCGCGGTTGGGCTTCCGAGGGTGGCTCCTAATTGGCTCAGAGCTGGCGTGCAGGCTGGGCCTGGGGGGAGGCTAGGGCGGGGTCAGGGGCCCACAAAGGATGGGGTCCACCCCTTCTCCAGAATGAGGAAGGAGGGCCCAGACAACTGCTGGGACTCAGACTGCGTGGAGCCCTTCCCCAGCTGCCCTGCCCCGCCCTCCCCAGGGGCACCCACCTCTCCTGGCTGCCAGTCAACCTGTTTGGCCAGGCTGGGCAGGTCTGGAGATGGGCGGGGAGCCCTGAGCCTCCGCACCCCCTCTCCTGCTCCTCCTCCTCCCCCACTGCCCTGTGCCCGGCACTCAGGCTTCTCTGAGCTGGGCTGCCTGGGTGCCTGAGGCCAGGAAGCCGGGGGCCCCCAGGGGGGTGACCCCCAAGAAGAGGGCAACCGCTTCACGCTTGGCTGCCGGGAGCCCTTCCTGGAGCCGTCAGGGTGGGGGTCCCCTCCCCCAGGGGGCCGGGGCCATGTTGCCTTGTGCCTTCTGAGGCCCCCCGCATCATGGCCCGGTCGCTGACCTGGCACTGCTGCCCCTGGTGCCTGACGGAGGAGGAGAAGACGGCCGCCCGGATCGACCAGGAGATCAACAAGATCCTCCTGGAGCAGAAGAAGCGGGACCGAGGGGAGCTGAAGCTGCTGCTTCTGGGTGAGTCCAGGGCCTGGCGAGCGGGCAGAGGTAAGAGGGCTGGAGGACAGGCTCCTGGCCTTCGGGGTGGGAGAACCTGGGAGCCCATTCGCCAGATGGGAAGACTGAGGCACAGAGAACCCCAGTTCCTTGTCCAGACATGGGTCCAGCCATCTTGCGGAGCATCTGCAAGAACGGAGGTGGCCCCACGGGATGGCCTGGTGGGGCCGGCCCCAGCCTGGCAGGCCCAGCACGCCCTACCGGCTCTGTGTCACGGGAAGGGAGCCATGAGCTCAGGTCTGCCGCCGCCCGGGCCAGTGCGCCCTGGCCTCTCCCTCTGTCGCCGTTCCCCACGACCCCCCAGCTCCTCTCTCGCTGCCACACCACCAGCTGGGAGGGCTGGACCCCAGTTCTGCAGGTTGGCTAGCGTGAGTTTTGTGGGCGGAGCGTTGTCACCTTGTTGTGATTGATTGATTGGTTCATTCAAACGATCAAGATCTATTAACTCCTGGAGACACAGCAGCAAAAGATACGGGAGTTGTCCCAGCCTCCATGGACCTCATCTTCTCATGAGAGAGACAGACATTGAGCCCATAAACTAGTAAGCAGATAAAATAGTTCCCAGCAGCTAGAAGATTGAGGAGGAAAATTAAACCAGCTGAGGGAGTAGGAGTGACTGGAAAGGCAGTAGATTGTGACCTCTGAAGCCTCAAGTCTTGTTGTGTCCACGTGTCCAGTCCCCTAACCACTGTGCCCTGTGAATGGCCCCAGGGATGCGGGCCTCGGAGGGTCTCCCAGGACTCCCTGAACTCTGGGTGGGGGCTGGGGAAGGTCCTGAAGTCACATCTGCCTGGTGCGGGTCAGAGAGGCTGCAGTCCCCTCTCTCTTCCCTGGCTCAGTGGGAAGCCCTGAGGACCGGAGAGAGGAGAGAGAGTGGGTGGGAGCACTGGACCCCTAGGAATTCCACCTTAACTGAGGGACCTTCCGACTTCTAACATTGCTCTCTCTTGCTGAACTAGTTACCCGCCCCCCCTCCCCCCCATTCATTTCTCCAAGAAGATCTGACATGGCAGAGAACTCAAACTCTGGCGCCCCCTGACCTCTCCAACCCCATCTCTGTCTATTGGCCATCATATTCCAGCTGCAGACACCTGGCTTCTTTGCTCTTCATTGAATATTTCATGTCTTCCTTAAACGTTTGGTAAAATCATCAATGAGCTGTCTGAGCCTGGGAAGTTTTTAATTAAGAATTTAATTGCATTAATAGCTATTTCTATTTTATTTTCTTCATAGATAGGCTATCATTATATTAATAATAGAGGTCACATATTCATATATTATTTATTATTTTTAATAAATAGGGTTATCTAAGTTATCTATTCTTGAGTAAGCTTTGGTTATTGGTGTCTTTCAAAGAATTTGTTGATTTCTTTAAAATTGTTAAAGTTATGGGCATCACATTGTTGACAACATTCCCTTATCATCCTTTTTGGGCTTTAAAATTGTTAAGTGATGCCCTTCTTTAATTCTTTTGTTTGTTAATCCTCACTTGAGGATATTTTTCCATTGATTTTTAGAGAGAGTGGAAGGGATGGAGAGATAGAAACATCGAAGTGAGAGAGACAGAGTGGTTGCCTCATGCACACACCCCAACCAGGGCGGGGGATTGAGCTTGCAACCGAGGTATGTGCCCTTGACCGGAATAGAACTTGGGACCCTTCAGTTTTCAGGCCAACGCACTATCTACTGAGCCAGACTGGCTAGGGCCCTTCTTTAACCCTTTGTTTTTAGTCCTTTTTCATGTCTAGGGCTTTACTGATGTTTGTGATCTTTCCTTGTACATTTCAAGCTCATTTATCTGAACCCCAGGACCTTTGCACTTGCTGTTCCTCCTGCCAAGAGCTCTCAGTGTCACCCCAGCCTTTGCACGGCTGGCACTCTCACTCAAGCAAGGTCCCAGCTCAGCTTACCTCCTCAGAGAAGTTTTCCCTGAATTCCGTGGCTACACGGGCAGCCTCATCCCTTTCCGTCCTTGACTTGACTTTTCACTCACTGACACTCTTCAGTGTTTACCTGTTTATGGTCTGCCTCCTCCAGTTATAGAGCAAATCATCCATTACTGAGAGGAAGGGAGATAGATAGAGAGTCAGAAACATCGATGAGAGAGAAACATCGATCAGCCACCTCCCGCACATCCCCCACCGGGGATGTGCCCGCAACCCAGGCACATGCCCTTGTCCGGAATCAAACCCGGGACCCTTCAGTCCGCAGGCCGAGGCTCCATCCACCGAGCCAAACCGGTTTCGGCCAGAGAAGTTTTTTTTTAAAGAGGTATGGTCCAGGAGGCTCAAGAGGTTGGGAACTAGCTTCACAATCAGAAAGAATCTGAGGTCTTCTCTTTCTTTTGCCTTTTCTCTCCTCTGTTCTTACTGG